GAACAAGAGGAAGTATGATACTGAAACGCACAGTGGATGCCAGTAATGGGGTTAGGGTTTCCACTACGTTCCGCCGCTGCACAATGATCAGAGCAGAATATTAAAAACTTATGAGGACGGAAAAAGTCAGTATCCGTCCTTTGGTAATAAATGTCTTGATACATTTCATGGCCTTGCAGTAGATTAGCCGCTATCGTCTGTTGACTCTGGAGCTCGCAGCTAGTTTTCTTGGTTGTTTTCTCATTAGTACAGTTTGTGCTCTGTGTGACTCGTGGCCTGAATAGTCTCAATAACAGCACTTGTTAATTAATAGACTTGATGACAACTCCAGCGGGTTTACACACAACGTGGCTTTAGTTTTTTTCCAAGGCAGCAAAGCAGCACACTTCTTTTTCTGCCAGTTCTGTGGGCTGACGTTGAAGCTGAGGAGGATTTTTGTTTGTTGGATCAACATCTCCACTTCACTGTTTTCTTGTTACGAAACTGCTCGCGACTTTGCCAAAGAAAGATCACAGCCACTTAGTTCACAAGTCACCAAACAGCTTAAACATACATGTCTGCACGGAGCCTCAAAACACAACTGTCAAGAGAGTTTTCAGGCACATTTCGCCAGTCAGCCATTCCTCGGTGCTGCTGAGGGGAGGAGAAAGCTGCTGCCTCGAGCCGGCCAGGTTCCCTGGGGAGGGATGTCGGGACAGAGAGGCAGCAGCTCACTGCTCTGGCAGATATTACTCAACCCACAGATACTGCACTGAGATGCCACAACAAATGGCATTTAGTACAGAAATCCTTATTTTTATCCCGGCATCAGGGTTTGTGAAACATTTTTTCGGCAGAACTAACAATAAGAAATAGATTTTGAGCTGAGATAAGAAGGCAAATATTTGCTTTCAACGTTGGCTTTTAGGTTCAAAATAAAAATTGGGCAGATCTAAACCAACAACTCTTACAATTACCTGCAAGAAATTATCTGCACTTAAAACTCTGAAGATCTGTGTGATTTTCTGCAATTTGTCGTGCTGTGCTCCATCCCTCTGAGCCTGTGAGGGGATAAACTGAGCTGCAGATCCAGTTGCTCTGTGATTATCTCAACAACAGTGAACTCCGCTTTCAGGCATTTAGTGAGCACATATAACTTCTATAACATCAAGCTTCTGTGAAATTACAGCCAGAGGTGAAGCAGCAGATTCCCCATTATCTGAGAGACCAGTGTGCTTCCTCGAAGTTTCTTCACAGCATCACAGAAAGCTTCTTCACCATTTGTTTAATATCTGAAAGTGGCTTTCACACAGGGTTTTTATCATTTCAGAAAAACACCACATGGATTCATGTTGCTTTGGTTTTTTTGAATATTAGCACTGACTACGAACGGGGTTAAAAGCTTCATATTATTATGATAAAAGAAACTCGGATTGTAAACACTGTACGAGGAAAGGAAGACGGCAGCTTGGCTCAGAAGCACGTGTCATGTGACACCCAGTGTACGAGATCACGCTCCATATCGCTAATGAGTCAAATATCAAGATGTTTGATTTATTTTTAAATTTCTGGTGTCTTCAGTTTCATTCCATTGACTTGTTGTGCTCAAATAAAACTAATTCATGCATCAATGTTGCCCAACAACAAGAACTGATGAAATGATCAGTATCATGTAAAACACTGTTCACTGAACCCCGATGCTCGAGTATTCTCAAGCTGTCGTATCTGACGAGCTATTAATAACATTCAAGACGACACGAATGAGAGGCTGTGGAGGGTCAAGGGTGTAATCTGAATAATATGCTTCCATATACACATACTAATGATCTCTATTATATGATATCTAAACTTACGGTAAGCTAGTTTTACAGGTTGTAAGTAACATCGTTATTCCACCCGTCAGAGCACAGGTGACCTCTGGAGCAGTTACCTGCTGATTGGTTGGCCTGACATGATGCATTATGGGTCCAAACACAAAAACAAAAACCAATTTTCAGATAATCTCTCACCTGTGAAGGACGTTGACTCACTGAGCAGTTTATTAAGAACACAACGCGATGACTGGGAAGGTCGTCTGTTAGCCTCGGTTCTTCACAGACTTTATACAAAGATGGACGACATGACGTCTCCCCACGCGTGAAGCCGAATCATCTCGATCGCCCCCCAAAGGTCATATATCCCACCTCCTCCATGTTAGCAGATGGGACATGAACCGAACCAAAAGTACAAAGTAGATATTAAGAGAATATATATAAAGATGGTTTCTGTCATTTGAGGTAGTTGTCATCTCACTGATCGCTGCACAGACGCTCTACTTGACGTCAGCAGCACAAGATGACAGCACCGGCGTCCAAAATAGTTTGGTTAGTTTCTGCACAACAGAGGGAAGCGAAAAACATCCATCTCTATTTACAGTCATGGTTCTTCATGGCAAAGATTCCACAAGATGTAAACTTTCTTTGGAGACTCTGCTTCATGTTGACTGAGTTTGCATCACATCATCTCTGTCTATTCTCATCTGAAAGGCCTTTCCACAGAACTGCTGCTCACAGGGTGTTTTTTTTGCATCACTCTGAATAAACCCTAGAGATGTTGATGTACCGAATCATCAGCAGCTTCAGATCAAACCACACCGTCTCACAACAATGATCACGCCACCGCCTCAGTCTCTGCGGCTCGCTGTGAACGCTCACTGAAGCTCCTGACCCGTTATCAGCAGGAATGTTTTGGTGCGCTGCTGCAACACGATCGGATGAATGGATAATCGCACAGATAAGCATCTGTTCAGGTGTTGATAATAGAGTGCTCAGCGAGTGCACATTATCAATTTTCCTTGTTGATCGTCACAGGAGCCGCATTGAACTGCTCTGACCAGGTGAAAACCAATTAAAACGTCTGCGACTGTACAGCAGATATACGGGATGTTTCCTCTCTTTCTCTTTATTGTATCTTCAGCGTTTATTGTAGTGCTTTAACACCAAAACCCTGCACTCACACCGTTAGACTTCCTGTGCTCCAGCTCTTCTCCTCGGGTGCCTGTCTGATTATTCTTAGACAGGCGTAATGAGGACATCGATTTGGAAATTGGCATCGATTTTATTTACGAGGCAGTGCAGGAAATCGAAGCAAAAGCAGAGTATATTTGAGTGCGAGCACAGGGTGTGAGTGGAAGCATTACAAGATCTGAACGTGAAATCTATAAATCCTGCTCATAAAGGGAAAGACCGCGTCCAAAAACGAGGGGAAGAGAGGGGAGCGAAACTGTACATCTGCAGTTCTAACTTGATGCAGCAGAGAATCACAGACGGTGAAACTACTTTAACCTTAAATAAGATTCATTTTAAACCGAGACACGTACGAGTTACTACTACTGCTGTGATGATCTTATAATCTCTGCTCACTCAGGATGATGTATTAGATGACAATGCAAAAAATAGCTGCAGTAAAAGATAATTAGCTCCAGTGTGGCCAGATGTTCACTTTACAGTCACTAGACAGCAGTCGCTGCTGTATCATGAACCCCAGAGCCTGCGATGTGTTGCCGTCTTTCTTTAGGTGCATTAATCTTCTCTCTTCCACTTTTGTCAGGTCTTTTTTTTTTTTTCCTCTTTGAGTTTATGCATTTGTATTCTCAGCAGCCGCAGTCCTCCTCATTGAATTCCGTGCATTGAGCGGGGTGAATAATAAATGGATTGCTCTCTTAATAGATACCGTTCTGAATATACCGATTTGCAGCTACTTAGCAATGACCTCAGGAAGAGTAAAACAACATTAGACCCACTTACTTACGAGGCTGCCGAGTTTTACAACTAATGATGAAATATCAAGAGATGGAGCTCTGCGAACAGTAACAGGCGACGTCCTGATTGCTCCGAGATAAAAGACCAAAGACTTAAAAAGATAAGAGGCTGTAGAAATCAAGACTGGTTTTTTATTTGTGCAGAAATTCAACCACTTTTTAGAAGAGGAAGCTGCACATGTTGTGGGGAAATACCAGTTTCAGTTCACAAAACCAACTAGAATTAACCAACTGTGGTCGTTTGCCTCCACCAGCCAGTGCAGTTTGAGTCCAAATACATTTTTATTTTAATCAGTTCACTCACATGATCTGTGAGGTCACAGCAACCTTGACCTTTGACCTCACACATGTATCAGTTAATCTGTTAATCCTCCTGAACATTTGTACCGAAGCTGAAAGGATTTATTTGAGATATTCCCGAGATATCACGTTCACAAGGCAACAAATGTGTTTAAGAGCAGCCACCGTGACATCGACCGCCAGAAAAAGAAAAGTTCATCCTCTAGTCAAAGAAATTCTCTGCAGAACAGGAATAGGACAGAAAAAAACCTGCAGACACATTTATTTCAAAACTTTTGCTCTCGAAAAAACTGTCCGTCACACTTTTAAATGAAAATCAGACGATTCGGAAATTCTACTTCCACTCACACAATTTTTTTGTTTTTTTCCTTTTCAACAAGCACATGATTATTCTATCCATCAGATAAAACACACAACAACAAACCCCTTCTTTCACTCAACGTTTGTAAAGTAACCTCCTCAACACAGATTAGTAGAAACATTACAACAGGATCCAAAACAGCGGCTTCATAATGAAATTGAAACAAGCAGCCGATCTCCAAACTGAAAGAAAACCACCAGAGAGACAGAGACACCGAACGGAGACAGATGCAACATGAAGGGAAATAAAAGGGAGAAAGTAAGAAGAGCTACAAATCCAATGCAGACGTGTCAAACCGTTCGTACTGACACGATCTACGATGTGATGGTTCTGCACCCAGCTTCACCACAGACCGTGGAGACAGGGAGGTTTAGAACTGGTGTCTGGAATTCACCCATCAGTCCCAGACGTCAAACAGCCTCATCATACAGACACAGAGGCTCATGTCAGTGGCCACACAGTGAAAAAAAAACAAAAAAACGACTGACATTGTGTGTGCTCGTTCCAAATGACGTCTGAGTCGCTGATGTTTCAGTCAAACCCCTCTACATTTATTCATACCTCATGGAACGCAGCCGGGATGTTGAAGATCCGTCTTTAGTCGACTTCTGGAGCTGCAGAGGAACTGGATCAGGCCAGAGGAGCGAATACTCACCTGCAAATACACAACGAGTTAAAAACACATCACATCCTGTGGGCTGACACCTGTCTGTACAAAGTGCCTGATGAGGGAAGACTGCAGCGCTGTGAGCGGACTGACAAGCAGTCAAGCTAACAAGCTGCACTGGGGCCAACGTGGGGAAGTGCATATTCCCTAAAGTGAGGCAGACACGACTTTCACTGTTTTTTTTTTTTTTGTCAACGAGTTCTGTGTCGGACACGTTCGCTGGAAACAAGAACGAGAAGGTGAACGGTTTGTTTGAGGAAACAGTTTATTGACTCGAGAAGAAGAGTTCAGGAAAGGTTCAATCGATCTTGATTCAGTTTCAGGAATTAATGTCAACGAGTGAATAATGGGACGAGTCTGAATTTTGTTTGCTGTAATTAATCGCCAAGTAAAACTGTCCTGTATGTACGTTTGGTTGATCCGCCTGCTGCTGAGTGGACATTTTGTTTTTATAATAAAACCTTTGGTAAAAGATTTTATTCTTTAGTTTGATTTTGATTTCCTTCCTGAGCTTGAGAGATGTTATATAAATCAAATCAAATTTTACTTGTAAAGCCCAAATTCACAAAACACATTTTGCCTCAGACGGCTTTACAATCTGTACAGGGAGTGACACCCTCTGTCCTTAGACCCTCGGAT